CAACCTAAATGTTCGTAAGTGAATAAATGGATAAAGAAAATGTGGTACAGATTCAAGAAAATACTATTCACCCTTAAAAAAGGGAGAAATCATGCCATTTGCAACAACATGGATGAACCGGGAAGACATTATGTGAAGTGAAATAAACCAAGCACAAAAAGACAAGTACCACACAGTCTCATTTATAAACAGAACATTAGCAAGTTGAACTCATGGAAGATAGTGGAAGTGTGGTTACTAGGACTGACGAGGGGAGCTGTCACCCCTTTGATGAACATCTCCAATGAGAAATAAATAATGGCCAGGTGTGGTGGCTCATGCCTATAATCCCAGCACTTTGGGAGGCTGAGGCGGGTGGATCACCTGAAGTTAGGAGTTCGAGACCAGCCTGGCCAACATGGTGAAACCACGTCTCTATTAAAAGGACAAACAAATTAGCCAGACATGGTGGTGGGCACCTATAATCTCAGCTACTCGGAAGGCTGAGGCAGGAGAAAGAAGAATCACTTGAGCCTGGGAGGTGGAGGTTGCAGTGAGCCAAGATTGCGCCACTGCATTCCAGCCTGGGTGACAAAGCAAAACTCCATCTCTAAATAAATAAATAAATAAAGGAATAGAAAATTTGAATAGCCCAACAAAGAATAAGGAGATCGAATCATTAATTATGCCTTCCATGAAAGAAAAACCCAGGACCTGATGGCCTGACTGCTGATTTCTACTGAACATTTAAAGAAGAACTAATACCAATCCTTCTAAAAATCTTAAAAAATTAAGAGCAGAGAGTACTTCCAAACTCCTTTTACAAGGCCAGCATTACCCTGATACAAAGTCAGAGATGTCCATCAAAGGATTTAAAATTTCCATTAGACAGACAGAGTAAGTTCAAGAGGTCTATTGGAGAATATGGTGACTTGAATATTAATATCTGAGTAGATTTTAAGTCTTCTCTTCCCCAAAAATGATAAATATGTGAGATAGTGCATATGTTAATAAGTTCTATTTAGCCTTTTCTGTAACGTATACACCTTTTTAAACCACATATTGTACACGGTAAATATGTACAATTTTCATTTCTCAATTTAAAAAATTCTACGTTCTACGATACATTAGCCACATTTTAAGGGCTGAATATCTTCATGGAGCTGCTACTCTTTTGCAGAATGTAGTTCTAAAATTTCTGCTACATCTACTTCTCCATCTATGAAGTTCCTACAGAGTAGATGCTTCTCTACAATGAAAAAGATTGACAGGATTACCTCCATATTTCAGGGGGTACTAATTACCAAGGGAGATATAGTTCCTTGTGCTACCTTCCTTCTCCACCCTAGGTACTGTATTTTGTGGATAAAGTTCATAAATTTTTCTGCTTTTCCAATTTCCGGATGAAAACATTTTCAGTTTGGTGGGTTTAGTAAAAATTATTAGACAAGAAAAAAAAAAAAACCCTCAACTCTGTCTTTGACAGATTTTTAAAGAAATAATGACTGTCCAATATGAGATTTACTAAATAAGATGTGTACAAAGATATTCATGGCAACATTGCATGAAATAGCAAAAGAAACACAAACGAATCAGATAAAAGATACATAACATGAAATATCTACATATATTGGGGTATAATACATCTGTCAAAAGCAAAGAATTCAATGTACATTAATAAATATAGATCAAATGGTGTGTTCAAAAATAATAAAATTGTGTGAAGTAAGTGGCAGAATAAGAATCAGGATTTAAAATGCATATGTCAAACAATACTGTAGGCTGTTTAAGGACACATGCACACACATAATCGTACAGGTGATACATTGGAAAGCTACACTTTTGAAGTAGGAGAATGAATGCTCACAGGAACAGGGCTGTATTGCACTGGAGGTTGGGGAAACAGATAAAGATGTAATGTGTACAAAACAAGAAAGAGGATTACGTTAATATCTCTCAAATTCTGTGTGCTTGATGTCATCATATACAATTTAAAATGCACAATAAAAGTTCTGAAATAGGAATGTTATATATTCAGTTTCTGATCTCAAAGCATTTATAGTCTAGATAGGAAGAGAGACAAATTCGTTAGTTCGTTTCCACACTGCTATAACGAACTGCTTGAGACTCGGTAATTTAAAAAGGGAAGAGTTTTAATTGATTCACAGTTCCATGTGGCTGGGAGGCCTCAGGAAACTTACGATCATGGTGGAAGGCAAAGGGGAGGCAGACACCTTCTTCACAAGGAGGCAGAAAGGAGGATGACCAAAGGAGGAACTTGCCAAAAACTTATAAAACCATCAGATCTCATGAGAACTCACTCACTATCACAAGAACAGCATGGGGAAAACTGCCCCATGATTCAATTACCTCCACTTGGTCTCTCCCTTGACAGGTGGGGAGTATAGGAATTATGGGGATTACATTTCAAGATGAAATTTGGGTGGAGACACAGCCAAACCATATCAACACATATACAGGAAATCACAATTCTGTGTAATAAATCAAAACTGTGGCATAATTTACAAATGTTCTTTATGGTTAAAACAAGGGTGTATCTGGGCCGGGTGTTGTGGCTCACGCCTGTAATCCCAGTACTTTGGGAGGCTGAGGCGGGCGGATCACGAGGTCAGGATATGGAGACCATCCTGGCTAACCCCGTCTCTACTGAAAATACAAAAAATTAGCCAGGTATGGTGGCGGGCGCCTGTAGTCTCACCTACTCAGGAGGCTGAGGCAGGAGAATGGCTTGAACCCTGGAGGCGGGGCTTGCAGAGAGCTGAGATCTCGCGGCTGCACTCCAGCCTGGGCCACAGAGCAAGACTCCGTCAAACAAACAAACAAACAAACAAAAAACAAACAAACAACAACAACAAAAAGGTTGTATCTAATGAAGAGAGCTTATTTTAGTTTATTTTTCTTTAAGCGAAGCTCTCAAAGAAACAGGAAATAAATACATTATCACATACCTATTTCTGGTATTAAGAAACATCTGTTTAGCTAGCCTGATGCCCATTTTTCTGTTCTACATGTTTCTATTAAAAACAAGAAAAAGTGATGGGGAGAAGGCTAACGTTCTGTGAAGACCTAGTCGGTGCAAGTGAGACTACAGGCAAATCCGTTTATAGTTGATTATATTTTATCTTTTTAGTGACTTTCTGAGATAAACATTATTATCCCTATTTTATACACAACAAAGAAGCTAGGGGAAGTTGAGAAACTTGTTGCTAGAGTGACCTATTTAAGATTATATACCACCATGTTATTATTCTGTTTAAATTCTCTAGTATTCCTTCAGAAAAAAAAAAATCAAATTATTTAGATAAAAAAGAAAGGCTCTCCAAACACGCAATCCAACTTCCACCTCCATTCTCTTTTTTTCTAGAATGGTTATTTCTCTTCCTGACTGATAACTGAGTTTTTGTTCTTCAAGGCGTATTTGATTAATACATCTTGGATGCCTTCTCTGTCCCGGTTTAGGAGGGTGGGTTTTGTATAATTTTCTTCTGTGCTTCCTGATGCTCTGCACATCTCATGCTGCGTTATAATTATTTTTATTTACTGGTCTGTCTCTTCCATTTTCTATGTTTCTATGTTTTTCATTGTTATCCTCAGGAATAAGCACAGTGCCTGTGTAAGAACTAAGTAAATATTTCTTGAATGGTGAAATTCATTTAATGGAATGTAATCTAAATATAAACTGAGTTTTTCCTGTCTATATTTTGTCCAGATTCTTTCTCTTGGATCCATCCCTCTCATCATCTCTACTCCAACCCACATTTGGCTTCAGGGAGAGGAGAGAATAACCTCTTACCTTATAATTCTTACTCTCTTTTTCTCTTCTTGCTCAGTCTATATACTATCTATATTCCTTTCATCCATTAATATACTATCACACTATAATCTCATATATACCTGCAGCCATTCTCTGTTTTCAAGTAAGAGCTTTCCCATTTTGCACCCAATGCCACCTCCAGAGATGATGGTCTCTAAATCTATTATCCAAGACTAGCATCTACACAAAATATCTTTGCCTCTTTATCTGAGTAAGATCTCATCTTGATATGCTACAAATTAGGATAGTGGTGGTGATTGGCAGGGCAGGAGTATAAAGGAGGCATTAAGATGATGGTTGTGGATTGAAGTGTTAGTTCTGTTGTCTGTTGAGAATTCATAACGGAAGAGCAGCATTCAGTTATTTTTATAATATGAAATAGTGTATCATTCTCTTCAGGTTTAGGTTCAGTCATCAATTCTTGTACAGTAGGAAAAATCCCACTATTATGCTATAATATTATGCATACCTGCAGCCATTCTCTGTTCTTAAGTAAGAGTTTTCCCACGTTGCGCCCAATGCCACTCCCAGGGATTATGGTCCCTAAATCTGTTCTCCAAGACCAATGTCTACACAGGAATATCCTTGCCTCCTTTATCTCGGCAAGATCTCATCTTGATATACTACAAACTATAAACCACATGAAAATGTAACACTGCCTGCCAGTGCACCCTAATAAAATAGTAGAAGATGAATGAAGAACAGAAACGAAACTAGTTATACATTAGAACAAGCTAGTAAACACAAGTGGAGGCTGTGGTTTCCATTTCTCTCAGTAATTATTTCTAACCCTAAGTAAGCTAGCTTATTTATAACTTTCTTCAGTGTAGTACTCGACTCATTTTTCCTTTGCCTTAGCACCTTCCTCGCACCTTGGTTGACTGAGGTTCTTTGTCTTATGAAGTAGCCTAATTTTTCATTCCTGAGGAATCTGTGCCCTTACTGGTCTTTCATGGATATAGCAATGATATCTGGTTAAACTCTTCTACTAATTATGGCAGTGGAAGAGGTATGCCGGGCATACCTCTTGATATGCTACAAATTAGGATAGTGGTGGTGATTGGCAGGGCAGGAGTAGAAAGGAGGGATTAAAATAATGGTTGTGGATTGAAGTGTTAATTCTGTTGTCTGTTGAGAATTTATAATGGAAGAGCAGCATATTATTTTTATAATATGAAATACTTACTGTATCATTCTCTTCAGGTTTTCCTCTTATATTTTCCTGCTCAATCCTTGGAAATCAGGTTTGGTTATCCCAGCCATTATAATTTATGCCAGTTCTCCTAATGATACACTGTACATGGCCAGCTGGTATCTCAGGTTTCTATTTAGTGAAATAAAAAAAAAAAATCAAGTATCCTTTTGGAATTATTTCTCCCCTGAATTCTTAAATCTCTATAACAAAGAAAACATAATGAAGACCATATATGAAAAATCTGCAATAACTAATATATTCTATGGTGAGAGACTGAAAACTTTCCCTTTAAAATCAGAAAAAAGGCAAGGATGCCCATCATGCCACTTCTATTCAACGTACTACTGGAAGTTATATTCAGAGAATTGGGCAAGGAAAATAAGTAAATAAATCCAAATTGGGGAGGAAAAACTAAATTTATTGCAGATGACATAGTGCTATATGTAGAAATTTCTAAAGATCTCTCCCTGTCTCTCTCTCTCTCACACAAACACATATACACTGTTAGAACTAATCAACAAATTTAGCAAAGTTGTAGGATGCAAAATCAACCCACGAAATCACTGACATTTCTATATGTTAACAGTGAACAATTCAAAAAGAGATTAAGAAAACAATTTCATGTATTATAGCATCAAAAAGAAGAAAATAATTAAAAGCACAATTAACCAAGAAGGCAAAAGATTTGTACACTGAAAACTACGAGATTACCGAAAAAAAAAATTAAAGAAAACCTCTTGTAGAAACTTATCATGAAGACTGAAAGAATTAATATTGTTAACATGGCAACAACACCCAAAGTGACTTACAGATTCAATGCAATTACAACAAAATACTAATGCTGTAGGAATTTCTTGTTTTTGCAGAAATAGAAAAATCCATTTTAATATTTATATGGAATCTGAAGGCACTCTAAATAGCCAAAACCAAAACCATCTAGATAAAGAGGAACAAAGTTGAAAGTCTCACACCCTATGGTTTCATAGCTTATGACAAATCTGTAGTAATCAAAACGGTGGGGTTTTGGCATAAAGACAGACCCATAGAACAGTGTAATCGAATAGAGTGCCTGGAAATAAACCCTCACATATATGATCAAATAATTTTCAGCAAGAATACTAAGACCATTCAAGGGGGAAAAGGCAGTTTTTTCAAACAACATTGTTAGGAAAGCTGCATATCCACATGCAAAACAACAAGGTTAAACCCTTACTTTATGCCATATTGAAAATTAACTCAAAATAGATCAAAGACTTAACGTAAGAGCTAAAATTCTTAAAACTCTTAGAAGAAAACGTAGGAGAAAATGTTAATGACATTGAACTGGGTAATGATTTCTTAGATATGACACCACAAGCACAGACAACAAAAGAAAAGCGAGATAAATTTGACTATATCAAAATTTAAAACTTTTGTGCACTATCAAAAGAGTGAAAAGGAAACTCACAGAATGAGAGACATTATTTGCAATTCATATACGTGATAAAGAATTAACATTCAGAATATATAAAGAACTTCCATATCTCAACAACAACAACAACAACAACAAAACTATGTGGTTCAAAAATGGTCAAAGGACTTGAGTACACATTTCTTCAAAGAAGACATACAAATGGCCAATTTGTATATAAAAAGATGCTCAATATCACAAATTATTAGGGAAATGTAAATCAAAACCACAATGTGTTCCACCTTACACCTAGTAGAATAGCATTATCAAAAAACAAACAAAGCAAACAACAAAGAAAACAACTGTAGGCTACGATATGGAGAAATTGAAACCCTTGTGCACTGTGGGTGGGAATGTAAAACGATGCAGCCGTTATAGAAAACAGCATAGTAGCTCTCACAAAATTAAAAATAGAATTACCACATGATTTAGCAATTCCATGTGTAGGTTAAAAATCAAAAGAATTAAAAGCAGGCACTCAAAGAAATATCTGAACACCCAAGTTCATAACAGCAATATTCACAATAGCCAAATGGTGGCAGCAACCCAAGTGTCCATGGATTGATGAATGAATAACAAAATATGGCATATAAATACAGTGAGGTACTATTCAGCTTTCTAAAAAGAAAGGATTTTTTTTTTTTTGAAACAGTATCTTGCTCTGTCACCCAGACTGGAGTGCAGTGGCACAGTCTTGGCTCACTGCAACCTCCACCTCCTGGGTTCAAGCAATTCGCCTGCTTCAGCCTCTCGAATAGCTGGGATTATAGGTGTGCACCACCACTCCCAGCTAATTTTTTGTATTTTTGGTAGAGACCAGGTTTCGCCATGTTGATAAGGCTGATCTCGAGCTCCTGGCCTCAAATGATCCACCCGCCTCACCTTCCCAAAGAGCTGGGATTACAGGCATGAACCACTGTGCCAGGCCAAAAGGAAGGAAATTCTGACACATGCTACAACATGGATGAATCTTAAAGACATTGTGATGAGTAAAATATGCCAGTCACAAAAAGACAAAGACTATATAATTCTACTTATATGGGATATCTAGAGTAGTAAAATTCATAGAAACAGGCCGGGCGCAGTGGCTCATGCCTGTAATCCCAGCACTTTGGGAGGCCGAGGCAGGCAGATCACTTGAGGTCAGGAGTTCAAGACCAGCCTGGCCAACATGGTGAAACCCCATCTCTACTAAAAACACAAAAATTAGCAGGGTGTGGTGGCATGTGCCTGTAATCTCAGCTACTCAGGAGGCTGAGACAGGAAAATGGCTTGAGTCTGGGAGGTGGAGGTTGCAGTGAGCCTAGATTGAGCTACTGCATTCCAACCTGGGCGACAGAGCAAGATGTCATCTCAAAAACAAAACAAAACAAAAAAATCATAAAAACAGAAAGTAAAATGGTGGCTTCTGGTGAATCAGGGTATGGGGAAATGAAGAGTTAGTAGTTAATGGGCTTGGGCTTGGAGTTTCAGTTTGGGAAGATAAAAAAGTTCTGGAGATGGATAGTGGTGATGGTTCAACAATATGAATGTACTTAATACCAGTGAACTGTACACTTAAAAATGATTAAATGCTGAATTTTATATGATGTATATTTTACCAGCATAAGAAACATCAACAAGAATTTTGCCCCGACTAATGTCCTTGACATCATTGGGGAAAACATTTCCCCAATGTTTTCTTTCAGTAATTTTAGTTTCAGGTCTCATATTTAAATTTTTACCATTTTGAGCTATTTTTTGCACATAGTGAAAGATGGGGATCTAGTTTCATTTTTCTGAATATAGATATCCAGTGTTTATACTACCATTTATTAAAGAGACTATCCTGTCCTCAATGTATGTTCCTGGTACCTTTGTTGAAATGGGTTGTCTGTAATTGTATGGATTTGTTTCTGGATTCTCTATTCTGTCCCATTGGCCTATGTGTTTGTATTTATGGCAACATCATGCTGTTTTGGTTATTATAGCTTAGTAGAATTTTTGAGTAAGACTTCAAAAGCACAGACAACAAAGGCAAAAAAAAAAAATAGGCAAATTGGATTACATCAAGCTAAAGAGCTTCTGTACCATAAAGAAAACAATCAAGAAAGTGAAGAGATAACTTACAGAATGTGAGGAAAATATTGGCAAACTATCCATCTGACAAAAGATTAATCACCAGAATACGTAAGTAACTGAAACAACTCAATAGCAAACAAATCAAATAATCCAGTTAAACAAATGGGCAAAAGACCTGAGTAGACTCTCTTAGAAGAAGACATACAAATGTCAAACAGGTTTATGAAGAAATGCTCAACATAATTAATCATCAGGGTAATGCAAATCAAAGCTATAATGAGATATTATCTCACCCAAGTTACAATGGCTATTGCCAAAATGACAAAAAAAAAAAAAAAAAAAAAAAAAAAAAAAAAAAGGGCTGGTGAAGATACCAAGAAAGGGGAATATGCATGCACTGTTGTTGGGAATGTAAATTAGTACAGCCATTACGGAAAACATTGTGGATGTTTCTCAAAAAACTAAGATTAGAATTACCATATAACCCAGCAATTCCACTGCCGATTTATATATCCAAAAGAAAGGAAACCAGAATATCAAAGAGTGTTAATCTCATGTTTTTTACAGCACTGTTCATAATAACTAAAATACAGAATCAACCTATGTGTCCATCAGCAGGGGACTGGATAAGGAAAATGTTGTGTATATTCAAAATAAAATATCATTTAGCCATAAAAAAGAATAAAATTCTGTCATTTGGGACAACATGGATGGAATTGGAGGTCTTTATGTTAAGTAAAATAAGCTAGGCACAGAAAGACAAATATTGCATGTTCTTGCTTATGTGTGAGAACTAAAAAGGTGTATCTCATTGAAGTAAAGAGTGGTGTGGTAATGACCAAAGACTGAAAAGGAAAGGAGAGAGAGGGGATGAAGAGATACTGTTTGAGGGGTATAAAAATACAGTTAAGTGGAAAGAATAAGTTGTGTACTACTGAATAATAGCACAGTAGATGTATTGGTCCATTCTCACTCTGCTGTAAAGAAATATCTGAGACTGGGTAATTTATATATATTAAAAAAGAGTTTTAATTGGCTCATGGTTCTGTAGGCTCCACAGGAAGTATAGTGGCTTCTGCTTCTGTGGAGGCCTCAGGAAACTTTCAGTCATGATGCGAGGCAAAGGTGGAGTGAGCACTTCACATGGCCAGAGGAGAAGGAAGCAAGAGAGGGGGTAGGTGCTACACACTTTCAAACAACCAAATCTCAGGAGAACTCACTCATTGTTGCAAGGACAGTACCAAAGGGGAAATCCACTCCCATGATCAAATCAACTCCCACCAGATCCCCCCTCCAACTCTGGGGATTGCAATTGGACATGCGATATGACCAGAGACATGGATCTAAACCATATCAGTAGGGAAATTCTAGTTGATAACAGTTTATTGTATATTTCAAACTAACTAGAAGAGAAGCTTTGTAATGTTCCCATCACAAAGATGAGATCAATATTTGGGGTGATGAATATCCTAAGTACCTTAATTTGATTATTACATGTTGTATACAGGTATCAAAATACATCACATATTCCAAAAATATGTATGATTAATATATACAATTAAAATTAATAATTAACTTAAAAATATAAAAAGGAAGAAACAAAATCTCTATAACAGTA